TTAGGTGAGTGTTTTAATAACGCAGCATTTTCGAAGCATTTTCCCAAGATTATTTCTAATTGGCCCTGTCATAAAGTAGTCGAAAACTGCCTTAAAACAGTAATCAGTTTGAAACCAGTTGAGCAAGCCTATGACAGGAAGTTGTTAATAATATGCTTCGAAATTTACCTGTGAAATACTGAGCTTGACTACTTCTGTAAGAGAACTAAATGTAAACGGCCTTTGTAATGCAAATCGACCAGTAGCAAAAAGCCACCACCGTGGGAATCCCACAACCTCACCTGAGCTTGCTACAGACCTTGGTGCACCCTTTAGTGAATGAAATCAAACCGCTTTACATGTAGGTAAGTGTCCTTTAGTGTTCCTAAAGCACAGCCCGTGGGCTATGGCGCGTACACGTACACCAGGAAGCCTGTGCCCTCGTCCCGGTGCTCGTGCCCACCCAGCAGCAAGATCGCCCGCAACTTCCCAAGACCAGTGACCATCACCTGAAGCGAGGACCAGAGTGGCTCCTCCTGTTTCCGTCCTCCTCGTGCTGCTCCAAGACCCTGCTTTTTCCCAACCTCACCCGAGGGCCGCAGAGCTGGACCTGCGCCGGACGAGGTGGATTTAGCCGGGTTAGAGTTAAGATGGTATCATTAGCTGCGCACAGCGTGACTTCCCACTAATCCTCTCTGCAACTTACAACAAGTTTAAATGTCCATGCATGATGTTATTAACTGGCTTTAGTAAGTGCTTAAGACCCAGATCTCTTTTTAAAGTAATCTCTGAACAAGTTCTACTGTATCCACCCAACAGGGAGATTAATATTTCCTGCAAATCTGATAGGGGAAAGATGCGCGCTGAGTCTCGAATGGGCCATGGGGCAGAAGTGGAAGTTGATCCAGGGAAAGGCCCAGAGCAGTGTGGTCACCAACCCTGGTTCCTGATTCTGAAAACTTTCTTCTCTAAGAGCTTCCCAGGATGTGGGGTGAAGGCTGTTGGGGGGGGGGGGGGGGGGGGGGGGGGGGGGGGGTGCTTTTTCTGTTTTCTTTTCTCAGGGGAAAAAAAGGGGGGGGGGGGGGAGCACGTGATATTGATCATATCCACGGAAGATTCCTGGACAGAACTTGAGAAACAGTATCAGCAAAAGAAAGCCCCTTAAACACAAGTTGCCTGCTAGCTTGAGGAAGGGGTCCTGCGAAGGAGGTGGCCGCAGCTAGATCCCTCGCTCGTGACTAAACCCCGACGCCACCCCCATGCACAAACCCAACTCAGATTCCTAAACAACCGCAATCCGGAGCTGGCGCAGAAGCAGGACCGAGGTCACTGGTGAGGGGCCGATGGGCGGGCAAAAAAAAAAAAACAAAAACAGAGCAGCCCTAGCGGATGCAACTCAGCATGCCAGGCAGAGGAAGGCTGCCGGCCCCCCTCTACGCTTCTCAAACCTTGGAGGGCGGGCGCGGGAACTTGAGCTCGCGCGAACTTAGGAGGCCTCCCAGCCGCCTACCTGGGCCGCAGCGCGCCCCCCGCGGCTCCGCCGCGCGCCAGTGAGGAGCGCGCGCCACCCCCGGGAGCGCGCGCGCCGGCGCACCAGCTCCAGCCTCTCTGGCAGCTCTGGCAGCCCGTCTCCCGGGAAACACCAATCAGATGCCCGCTTCAGGAAAGGACTGCGAGCAGCCACAGCGGCAGGAGGACTCTGGCTGTTGGCGGTCACCGGGAGGCGTCGTGCTGCCCGGCGGCAAGCCTGCCGCCTTTGCCGCTGCCACTGCCTAGCCCAGCCAGTTCCGCAGCCAGTCACAGAGCCGGCTGTCTCCTCTGTGCACCGCCCACGCCAAGCACCTTGCAATGCGACTGCTAAGCCGGGCTATTTTTAGATCTCAAGAATGCGTTGTGCGGGAGCTCAGCTAAACCCCAGTCAAACCACCAAACACAGTGATGTGCTTCTCTTTGAACAAATATGGCTCTGAACTCCATATTTCCCTGAATAAAGTCGATTATCTTCACTTTTTAAAGTCCTACCCCCTGTGGTCTGGCAGTTGGCTGTAAAGCGGAAAGCCACATGCTTCCACCTCAAAGATGGTCATCACCTTTCTAAGGAAGTGCACTAACTCTCATGGCCCTGATTGAGGGCAAGCAGACATTCTTTAGGAGAAATCATAACTGTATATTTTTCATTTCCATTCACCATCTTTAGAATTAATTCCACTATAAAGTCGAACGATTCCCAAAAGGGGTGAGATGGGTTCTCTAAGCAGATGAGAATGAAGGTTTCTGCTGATTTCTGTACTAGTTTAACTTGTGCTAAGAAACCGACGAACACAAAACCAGGATAACAAAGCCATCCATTAAAATCTGGAGACACTGAAGAACTACCTTACATGCCCCATCACTGTAGGACCTGTTTAGCTGTCTCCAAGTACTAACGTTAAAACAATTGGGACAGTATTATAAATGTCTTTTTCCTCATCAACTTCTAAAGGACATCTTGTCTCTGTTGCCCACCTCCTCCACCCCCAGCATCCATCCAAATGCAGCATCATATATAAGGTGTGTTTTACTTACCCTAACATATTAGGGAAAAGCTAAGTCATAGCAAGACAGAGTGGGAAAGGGGTATGAATATTCTTAAGCCACAAGGGCATTTCCAGAGGTATAAACCCATGGGGGTGGGGGGACTGGATATACAGTTATACACTTTTTCATACATTTTCTAGCTACATTATAAAATAAAACCTTTGGCTTTATCTCTCCATTTCTAAAAACTCAAAATTCTCAAAATGCTAAACGCTCTTGTACCATTTAAATGTAGTCTACAAATAGGAAGGACATTTAGGAACGTGAAATATATTTATCCTTATCTCGTATTCAAGTGGTTTCTTAATTTTCATCAAAGACTACACAAAATCAAATTATAATTCGTATTTTTCCAAATGAGAAAATCATTTTAATTTAAAAACTAAACAGACCACTGGTAGAAATGTATTGTTTAAGAAGACTTAAAGAAAAGCCACTTTGAGAAAATCATTTATTTTGAATGTAAATAATGCTTTTATCTCATTAGTATGCATTTTAATGGTAACTTCACTAGGGGGCTGATACTGGTGGATATGTCCACTCACATCCTGCAAGGATATTGCAGGAGTTTTCCTATGTATCTTTTTTACCTCTACCCAGTTTCCACTTTTGTTGTTGTTTTGGATTTTTCTGTATGAATTTGTTTTTTCGTTATATCCTTCATAATTCTATTATTGAGTGACTTTTCATTGTTAATTTTCTAGTAGAAAATAGGACAAGGAAAATTAGTTGGTTATATCTTTATATTTTCTTTCACAGGTGTCACTTTATTGGCCAATTTTTAAGTATTTCATGAAAAGATTCTAGATGTCAAAACCTGCAGTTAATGTTCCTGTTTAGAAATACACAAAATAATACCTTTGACGTTGGCAACTCAGATGTATTATTCAGCAAAACAGCAATTACTCATTGTTTTGCACTTACATGTTAAGAACTATGCGACACTTGGTGACACAATAACAAAATTGCAAAGTCAATTATATTTAAAGTAGACATCCCAATAAAACATATACAACCAACTCTTTTTACTCTTTTTGAACTGTTTTGTTTTCTCTTTCTGACTGTTTACAGTTAAATCGATAACGTGAATGTTAAATCCGAATATAATAAGTGATTCACACACATCATGAGAAAAGGAAAGTTAGAAAATGGGGAGGAAGGGTAACACAAAGGGAGGTGTATTCCTGAGAGTACCAGAATCCAACTAGGGAGTTGCCAGAATGTTGCATATTTTTGGAAATGTACATCTATGATGTTCTTTTGCAATGTCAATCATAGTGGCAAACTCTGAAAGAGCAGTGTCTGCCAAAATTTCAAGCAAAATTTAGGTTGGATGCATACTAATAATTCTAAGCAGAGCTAAAGCAATAAAACCCAAGTAGAGTCAAGATCTTTACATCTAAGAAGGGAGGGCTTCAGGTGGGAGTAGTTGTTTGTTTTATTCTATTTTAAATTGCACAAGAAGCATTTTTGAAACTTGAACTTCCCAGTAATGAATTCTGCTTCTCAACCCAGCCTGCAGCCTGAACTGAAGTTCCCATCAGAAAATTAAAATGTTTGTCTGGATAAAATAACCGCTAAATGAACTCTCTATTTCTTTTCGTTTCTTTTTGTATTTTCTGCAATGTAGCCCCTCGCAATGATATTAGTTCTAGTGTGGGAAAATATTATAATTGAGATCTGGTAAGTTATTTGCAGACTTCAAGTTTTTCTTTACACTGTGCTGACATTTAGTACAGCCCTGGTGAGGAAAACAATACTACCATTCATAGCTCTAGACGTAGATTTCAATCGACTTAAGCGGGCACAATGAAACTTGGTCATTCACTGGTTACCCATATTGTGTTCTCAAATTTTCTCTCAGCAAAAGTATAATGACTCAGTATTGTATGGTTGCATAGACAAGGGCTCGGAACAAGAGACACTAGTTTTGTCTGACGGTGTGAGAAAGTCGTGAAGGGATCTTTTCTTCCAGATGGTGTTAAATTCAGCTGCCTTTTTAACATTGGCCTTGCACAGCAATCTGCTGCTCCCCTTTCACAAAGACTGCGCTTGGTTCCCACTAGTTAACATGCATACTCACGCAACCTGCAACTTCACTCCAACTGTTTTACAATGCAGTGGTATGCTAAATAAACTTGATCCGGCTCCTGCCAATGTTAAAACTAGCTTTCAAAGAACTACTTAACTGATATTTACACTTCTTTTGACTTATATATACATGCCTTTGGAATATTTCAGATTTCAAAGAAATATCACCTTATTATAAGGTCCTTGTAGAGATTACATTGGACATCCTTCAGACCCATGCTCAGATATAGTACCTCTCTTCAACACACACAAATAAAACAAAATGTCAGAAGTTTGATGTGCAATAGAAAAAAGAAAAATTGGGACATGTTGCAGCAGGAATAGTGGAACAGCAAAAAATAAAATGAAAATAATAACATTGAAATGTATTTTTATTGATCGATAAGTCATGTAACATTAGTATGGTACAAAGCAAGTTTGATATGACAATGGCAAACACATAATTATAATATTGTTTATTTTCCTTAGATGCTATATTTAACACATTTACATAAAAGACCAAGATGTAAGCAAAAGCTTCAGTAATTTGACTCCATTGAGTGCTTTCCGTAAACAATAGGTTTCCCTAGCAAACATCTTATTGCCTTAATTGAACCTCCTTGAGAAAGAAAACCACACACTTTGTAATGTAAATGTTAATTGTAGTAGACAATGGTCCTAGGTAAATAGCACCCCTGGACATGAAGTAAATGAAAGGAATACAGGCACTTAACAATGAAAGGTTGTTTGCACAAACAGTGCTTCAAATGTAAATAAACAAGGGTCTTCTCAACGGTCACTACAGTAGTAAAACTTTGGCACGTGTTCAGCAGCCATAATGAGAATTTACGTCAATAAAGTCTCTCAGAGTTTCTAACTGAAACTAACAGTGGGTTTACAGGGTTCTCCAGTCTAGAATCTTATAAGGTGCTGAAGCTACAAAGGAAAATGTAATGCTTTTGAAGAAAAATTCTGTATTTGGAATTTGAGATTGTCAGTAATCCAGTCCACATGGAAGAGAACAGGCCACTTTAGGCATTTTCTTACTGCGATGTTTGTATTTACGTTTAATGTCTATACAAATGTTTGCTTTGACATGTGGGAAAATGTAAGAACTTTTATGAAAAGATTGCAGTGGGGACCTCCAAAGCCCCAAAGTTCCTGCTAAGTAGAGTAATTTTTAGATTCAATAAAAATGGCTGTATAGAATGCATCTCACTGGGACCATACCAAAACAACCTTTTATCATATTACTACTGTAATTAGCTTTCTGTAGGCTGATGATTTTATAGTTTTACTTCTAGTGGGTGTCTACTAGCATAACTGGGCCAAGTTCCTAGATATATCATGTTACGGGGTAAACAGCCTGATGAAGTGATAATAATGTCCATTATAGAGTATGTGTTGTCTAGATATAATCCACCCAAAACAAAAGCCAAAAGGTGGTCACAAAGCCAAAAGTACAGACTGAGAATCTGACGTGGAGAGCAGGCAGAAATGGGACTTTTGGGGAGCTGCTTTCCACTAGCTTTTCTTAAATACTGAAAACCTTAACCAAAGAAGAAAGCTGAACTTAAGTATGGCCAAATTAAACAGCGGTTATAAAATTAACAGAAACAGACAGTATGCAGCAGCTACAGACCAGTTGGTGCTACCATTTGGGAGGCTGCAGATGGCTGTGGGTGGGAAATGCCTCTACTTTCTTAGGCGATGGAGATGAGTATGGTGTGTGCACTTGATGTTTTTTTCATACCCCCACCCCCCAACAGGGCTGTCTGTCATAGGCTGCCGGCCCGCTTTACCACTTGCCCCCGAGCGTGGGAATCGGAGCGTCCTGCCGTTCACATCTCCTGCATTCCGTTTATCGGAATCAATTAGGCAAGACAGACCCTCAGATTCCCCACCCCCTTTCCATTTTTGTCAGGTCTATATACGTCCTAATTATTTCAGTTTGGGATGCCAGAGCTGTTTCCTGGATAGATCTGATCATCCTTAAACAAAAAGAGAGGAGGCGCACACGTGGGTTGTGGCGTAAATGTCACTTTCATTTCCAATGCTAGGCGCAGAGTAAGACAGAACATTTTTTTAACACTTTGACAAGAGGGGAGGCGATCTCGTCTCCATCATGTCTTTCTGCTTCAGTAGCTTCCTCAAGGAAACCCTCTTGGAACAGAGAAGCATCTGTCCTTGTATTTTGAATAGAAGAATAAAAATCAGCCTTTGCTTTTTTTTTTTTTTTTGCATTTTCTCTGCTAGCTGTATGTCCTCAGAGATACAAATTATTAACCTTCCATTATAAACTCTTCTGAAAGTCTAATTTAATATAATTTGATATACAACCCCAATACATACAGTCCTCAAGCATAATCTTCAAATTTTTCAGGGGTAGGGAACCTCAGAAGGAAATAGCCTACGTTTATGTATTATGAAATCATTTTTAAACTAGATACCAGACATCTCTACAACAGCTTTCTAAGGAAAAAAACCAAACAAACATAAAACAACCACCCTCATATAAACTTTTGTCTTAAAGCAGGACAAACTACACATGCATCTTTACTTATTAGCACCATACAATTCTCCTTTGCATCTGTAACAACCCCTCTCAAAGTATCTGGCACCTTCATATTGTGGCATCTGTGTGTCACTTAATTTCCTCTAATCCCACCTTTAGTCATAAGGAAAAAGAACAAAAGCAAAAACAAAAACAAAGTTAGATTCAATAAGTATTCCTGACCTTTCTGGTTTTTACTGTCTCTTGGCTGTAGTCTTTCATTCTCACATGCTCCCCGGCGATCTTGAAGGAGTTTTTACTTTCGGTTATCTAGCTTTATGAAGACCAATACACTCATACAGCTAGATAACCAAAGATAACAACTCGCTTCCCTCACACGCCTCTGTCTTCCTCTGGCCAGACTCCAGATCCCGATCTCTCTGGTAGCACCGAAGAGTAGTCCTCCAGGACACTTGTCGTACATAAGATTCCTTCTTGTATGTAAATATGACCTGGTTTCTGTTTGTGTGTGCGGCTAAAACATCCAAACGAGATCTGTTGCTTTCAAAGTTTATTCCGAACTTTTTTTTTTCCTTTCAGCAAGTAATCTCCGGCAGCGTTAGCCAACAATTCATCTATTAATATCAGAAAATAAAACCAGCTATTAAGGTGCAGCAAGCGGTTACGAGTGAGCAGCAACATCCGTCCCTCCACAGGCCTCTATTTGCATTGTAAATTGCTTCATTCTCACGCAAGACTCTTTAGCCTCCCTCTATAGAGATGTACAAAGCCAGCGGCAATTTCCAGCGCAGGTTAAGGAGGAAGGAAAAAAAAAAACATCCCATTCTATAGAAGAGGTGACAGCTGATTCAAGGATCTGCTCCTGATCCTTTTGGGTTAGGCACCGTGAGCTTTTTACCAAGCGGTGGCAGCTTGATTGCACATATCTCGTGTGTGTGTGTTTTAGGGGGAAGATCCTCGATTTCACAGGGCTTCTAGGCTGGGGAGGAGAAGATGCCGTCTTGCTGGCGTGCTGCTGCCCCCGGTCTGAAAGAAGGAGAAAAGGGCCATCATTGGAGGGGCTTTCACTGCCAAAATGTGGACCAGCCCGGCAAGGTCAAAGGTTCGAGACCGCGGGAGACCAAGGTAATGATGATGTCATGAGAAATCTCAAGTACACGGTTATTGATATGCATCAGTGATCAGCCAACTGCCCCACGCCTCCTGCCCGAGCAGCGGCTGCGGCGGCAGCGGCGGCGGCGGCAGCCTTGCAACAAGCCCTATTTTCTCAATCAACATCTCTTCCGCTAGCACTACCGACCGCTCCAGGAAAAGCAACCCGCGGCCTTTTACCTCCTCGGTGCTAGTGTAGATCGCTCTAATATCCAAAGACTGGAAGAAATCTCTCTCTAAGGACATATAAAAGCATTTCAGATCTGGGGAACGTCTTTGCCTGCATTTCTCTTCTGGCAGATTGCATGGGCAGACAGATGGAGGGCACTTTGCTATTGCTTAAAGCAGGGCCTTGCTTTCTGGGGCTGGGAACCAGATCTGTATTACGCAGTGAGTCGATGTGTGATTACATTGACAATTTGCTCTGGTGGTGTGTTTTTAATGGCTTCACGGCTCAGGCATGTTTTGTATCTATGTGCCATGGCGATAGGGCAGCGTATTTGGTTTGCTCTATAAGTTCAAACGGAATGCTCTAAGCAGGCCGACTTCATCCTGATTTTTTAAAAAATGACTCTGCATGGGGTGTGTGCCTTCGAAGGTAGCACAGGTAAACACTGCAGCATTAGTTTCTACTGTTGTACGCAACTCTGCTGTAATAAAAACGCTGAGCCTTTGTTTATCATTTCAAAAATCAGTTTTCATAAAGAAGGACGAAACGTACTAGTCTTCCTTATGAAATTATGAAAAAAGTATCCTTACCTCATGAAAACGACCAAACACCTGAGTGTTAAGAGCATAACTTTACCCCACCTTTCCCTTCCCCACCCCCACCTTTTTTCTATCTAGAGGGGGATATTATTTTATTAATTAGCCTCATTCCTTTTCTTAGGACTTTTCAAAGTGTAAATATGTCACTTTGAAGAGCTCTTTTCTTCTTCTCCTTCGTTAATGGGTGATCTATATCTAATGCATCTATGATACGTACAGTTCTAATCCCCAGCTGCCCCTCCTCAGAATAGCTAAGGTGCAGTCCATGTAAGACACATATTCACCGTGGGTGAACTTTATGGATTGTTTCCCAAAATTGTGAGTCATGTTTGGTGCTGTTGCTATTCTTTAAAATATATGCTACACGTGAATGGCATAAATCTTCATATTCATTTCACACATCACTAGTTTATCACAATACTCTCATTTCTTTAGGTGGACTATTTTGCCCAATGACTAAAACACTTTCAGAATTAATATATACTCTTTCATTAATTCAGTAATTTATTCTTATAAGACATGAGTGTGAATATGCTTACCAAGTTACGTACAGAACACATATATGTAAATCTTATAAAAAGACTGACAGAACCAAAATTGCTAAGAAAAGCCCCCAATCTACAGTTCATACAATAATATCACACCAATTAAAGATACAATTTAGAAACACAGATGCCAACTTTCCCTTAGATTTTTTTATTCACTTTTTTTGGGTGAGCATTTGTGTTCTGATTATTTAGAAAAGACTCATCTACTTTTCTTATCAATCTTGGTATAAGAAGTGTGATCAGAAATGGCTGCATTGGGTTACATATAAAATGTACGTGCAGACTACAAACTAATTCAGAGAAACACACTCCCATGGAGTTACTGTTCCTTCTTGAACCACGAGGTCACAACATAAACTAATGGACAGAACTGAACACATGACTGAGGCACATGCCACTTGGACATTATGTAAAACCATAATGAGCTTTGCTGCATTGGAAGATTGAGAGTATTTTGGCCTTGCTTTCCAAGACCTAGAAGCAGAATCATTAGTGATTTGGCATGTACTACATAAAGCAAGCATATGATCAGGTGAATTCAATTCTTTAAGTCAAAACCCTAAGAAATGCCAGATATTTTTAGAATATTTTTTTGCTTTGTATACATCTGGGTGGGGGTTGGTGAAAGTGGAGAGATGTGATACATGTGTGTCTGTGTATGTGTGTCACCCCATATTTGTGTGAATTCGCAAATTAATGTGGCTATATTCCCACATTTAACAATTAAATGCATTTTTAGAACCCAAGTGACTATCATGAAAGCCAAGACACTGAACATTTAAAGTGCTTCTACAATTAGAAGCTACAGAAAATACTGTCATAGAATAGTATCTTCTAAAGCAATGCCACATAGTCATATCACCTGACTCCAGGACTGGCCCTCATACATGTCACATATACCGTAGATTCATTGTGAGAGCCCCCCAAAGTGAAAATAGTCAACATAAAGATTATGGGCAGTCTGTTCACTAGCCATATAGCCAATTAAACACTTTACCTCTCCTTCCCCTTTCAAGGTATGGAGAAATAAAAGATACACAGCAAGGCTTAACACTGAACACCTGATTATTTTGAATATTGCCAAGGTCCATGGCACGGTTTATCATATACATTTCAAGGACTTTATTATCACTTAGGATGTGAGCCAGTTGAAACAATTGGACTGATTCCTAGCAATGCCTGCCATACATTGTTATGAGCAACTATTAACACCTACATGTTTTTATTTCAGATATTTTTGTTTTTCAGAAAGCCATTTCTCTGAAATACAGAATACCCTTTCTGAAATCTGCATATTGAAGGATATATTGAATTCAAATGGCTTGCTTGCTCATTCTCTAATAAATTCCCATTAATGGCTCGTAGATTAGGACGTGATTGTCATGCTTGTTTTCTAATCTTTTTATAGGTCTCCAGATGGCTGAAACATGAATTGAAACATCCTGGTTTTCTTGGGAATAAACAATCTCTGCTTAAGTTAGAAGTGGAAAGTTATGATTTTCCACATATTTGGATCGGAATTATGCTATTCCATAAATGCAAATAATCAGGTTTGCCACTCATATATATTTAGAACACCTCTCTGAGTCCTATTCAGACTACTGCAGAGTGTATAAAGAATTGGCCTATCACTAAATCCCTTTTTAATACTGAGTTTGTAGATTCTTATGTAAGTAAACCACAGTTCACTAATACAGTCAAGACTACCATTTTCTACATAAAAGCCATTTAATTTACAGCAGTTTGTATAGTTCAGGCAAGGTACTTGACTGGCTTACTTTCTAATAAAAGTGTCCTGTTATGTCTTCTGTATCCTGAAATTCATTTTTATAGGCCTTTACAGGTTATGTTTGCATTATTCTTGATATATAGTATACAAAGGCTACACACAGGGAAAAAAACTGCACATATGGAAACTTAGATTTTTCTGGAATCGTATCTGTTGGATGAACTGGGACATATGCAATACACAGGAGGCCTACCATCCAGCAAATGATATTCTATTTTGGCTTTGTATATAATTTTGATTTTACCAAATATAAAATTTTAAATTACCTTTGGTTGGTTGTATTGTCTATTCATTTTATGCTTCTTTGTAGTCTCATCTGAAAAACAGTCAAGAAAACAAATGATCACAGTTTTAATATATACATATAGCTATATAATCATGTTTAGATTTGGCTTCATTTTAAAGTATTGCAATTACCATGATCCTTTAAAATGCCAAGAGATTACAGAAAGCCCCAGTACAATGTATGCTGGGCTTCAGCACCCACAGGGTTAAATATGCTAATTTGCATTTAAATGGAGACATGCATGATAATAGGAATGCAAAATATGCAGAATCTGGAGGGGTTTGGGAAATTAATTTTTTCTTTCTTCTTTTCTTTTATTTTTAGCTTGGAAGGAAGAGGGACCCTTAAAAAACATTAGGGATTTGAACACTGTAACCTGCCATACAAAAGACGAGGGAGAGTTCTTTCATGTAAGAATTTCAAGACTGGAACAAAGTCGTATTTTCTAAATGTTTAAGGAACTGGATTTCTAGGCCTTTCAAACAATGGGAATCCCTAGATAAATATCTAATCCATTAGAAAGATGCAAATAGTTTACTGTAAGGCCACAGCACGGTGAGATGTGCATTCATATCTATGGCTCCTGATTGGCTATTTCCTTCAGTAAATCAATGAATAATGTAAAACCTGATTGCTGTAAAGTGGTGGATTTTTTAATTCCCTTCCCCCATTCCTCCATGACTCGATATTCAAGAAGTCTTACTCTCTCAAAAATAGGTTGCTTTTCTTTTATGATTTTTTTAAATGCTTATTGTTATTTTGGAGTAGTGGGGTGGGGCTACTGGTTTTGCAAAATGAAAGTACTGTGCTGGTTCAATTATGCTGACTATGGGAGCTCCGTTTCCGAGACAGCGCCCTAATTACTGGTGGCAAGGTGGAGAAGGAGGGTGCTGGGAAGAGCTGGGCACCAGGAGAGGGAGGAAACTGGATCCGACCCTGCCATTCTGGGCCCAAGGCAGCCACAGCCCCCCAAAAAAGCCCCGGGCCATGGCCGTGACTTGACAGGGCCTCCGGTCTAACTTCTGATCAATACCATTGCTGCCCTGACCCTCAAGACAGTCCCCCATTCAAGCAGCGCCCGTACATTTGCAAGAGAAAACGCTGCAGACACTAATGCAAATACAGTGCGTGGGTTCCCACCTCCCGGTGTTCCTCAGACAATTCCAGGCCACGGAAGGAAGATCTTGCCTCCCTCAGCGGAGTCTGGGCTCCAAACAAACTGCAGAGACCGGCTCCCCTCAGATACCAGAAGCATCTGAAGCTGAAATGTTCCACGTCCCAATAACTAGCCGCGATGGCTGTATCTTGATGAATCTGAACTTGGGATAACCCTGTAAAGCGGCCTCTCGCCTCCTAGAATCCGAAAGGCTAGAGAAAAGGGAAGTGGAAATCCACTACATCTAGTTAGCTAGTGTACGTTAAGTTTCCACCAGAACCCAGTCAGATCCTCACTTCGTTGCCAGATGATTGCAACTTTGAGGTGGTTAAAAGAATCATTCAAAATGCAAATCTTGAATCCAGGAACACAAAATACAATTGTATTTAGCCTTTCGTTTATAAGAAAAAAGTGCCGCTAAACAACAACACAAAACTACATACAAAATTCCCCTTTTCAACGCTAAATTTTCCTGGCATCTCTCTGCAACTGGGGGTCAAACCGCTGGATAATTAACAGTTCTGGCTCAGACGACTCCAGAGATCAACAGGTTTAGCATCCGAGACTCACAATCAATTAGCTGTAGCAAAGCCCCGGACTGGCCCTCGGAGCGGCCCGCAGCGGGGCTCTGCGGTCACCGGCTCGGGGACGAGGTGAGGAGCGCGGGCGCGGGGTTTGCAGCGGTCACTGCTTGCCGCCTGCGGGCCGCCACGATACTCACTTGCTCTCCTCCTGCGCCAGGCGGTGTTGCCCCCCAAATCCAGCTGGGCAGGAATCGAGGCGCCGGCCAGAAGACAAGATCCAGAGTCACAGAGCGGCCGCAGTACACAAACAGGCTCCTTTCGGCGTCTCAAAAAAAGAAAAAAAAAAAAAATTTTCAGATCATTCCTCTCCACAGCACATTTAAAACTGCCGCTCAATTCCACACGGTGATTCTTGCTTGATTGCTTCTAAAATAGTTTAAACGGATCTTCCCTTCTGGGGAGAGAGAGAAGGGCGCAAAAGACGAAAGAGGAAAAAAGCCAACTTTTCCCCCCCACGCCAGGCACTTGCTCCCTGAGCCTCGGAGTGGAGAGTGAAGTGGTGTGTGCGAGGCTTGGCAAGTTTTTGGGGGGGCTGTCCAAGGTCTAGTCCAGCCCCCTCTGCCGAGGAGGACGTGCTCTGAAACTCAACCAATTTCCCCACTGCTTTTGTTACTGATGAACTGAAGCCCTATTGTTCATCCATTGCCACGGTCTTTTTCAGTCCCCACACTACGTTCTGCGTTGCCAGAGATAATGAATTTGCACCCAAACCTCTCATAGTCCCCTCCTGACAGACGGAACAAATTAGAAATGTCTCGTCTGAAGGAAGGCAATGGCTACATTTTCCTATTGTAGGATGTAAAGAACACATTTCTTTGGAAACTTCTCTTGCCTTTTCTACCTTTTATTTTCTCTTCCCTCTTTTTCTTTTTTCCTTCAGTTTTTTTCTATTGATTTCTTTAGACTCTCTCTCTCCTGTTCTTCCTCTTCTTCTTTTTTTAAAGAATAGGCCCGTCTTGTTTTTCCAGTGCACCATTTTATGTAACTTGTGGATCTTTTCTACCTTCCTCCTCGCCTCTCCTTTTTTCCTTTAAGAACTCCCTTTGCAATTTTATTTACAAACTTGGAGAATGACCTTTTGACTTGCAGACTTTTTTTTAAAAAAAGAAAGGTCTTTTGGTTCAAGTCCCCTTCCTTACTCCTCCTCCTCTTTTTGTTGTGGTCGTCAAATGTGTTTGGCTAAAGACAAGCAATACGTTATAAGGATTTTTATTCTTTAAACTCCAGAGCTATTCAAAACGTACCAGGGACGCCCTATAGGGTTTTTTTCTTTGAGGGGGGAAGAAAAAGCGTGTGTGTGTGTGTGTGTGTGTGTGTGTGCGCGCGCGCGCACGTGTTCCAGGCAAAGGCAGAGAGATGTGGGAGGGTGTGGGTGGGAGTGTGCAGGGAGAGAAGGGTGGGGGCCTTGAGGGAAAGTGGGCTTCCTGGAACACGAGCCGGGAGGCTGTCAGGGGTGTAGGCGCGAGAGGGAGGGTGCAAGAATCCGTCTCGCCGAGGGCGGCTTGCACCCCTGGGCCTGCTCGCGCTCCCAGCCGGCCGCAACCTGGGCGCGGGTGTCTGCGCGCGCGGGCGCTTGTTCCGAGCCTGCGCGCGTGCGACCGGGGGCGGAACGGGGGCTATAAAAATTCAGGCGAGTGGCCCGTATGTAAATGCGGCCCGGGGGGAGCGGGGAGGTGGTAATGAGAGCCGCGGGCGCTCAGTCCCGCCGGCGGCCCCCAGCTTTCCCGCCAAGTGCAGCGGGAGGACAGACAACCATGCGTGTCCTTGGCGGGAGGGCCCCCGCCCGCGCGCGCGCCCGCCCCCCGCGCACACGGCCACATTCCCCTCGCAGGCGTGGGGCCCGGTGGCCACGAGCATGTCAGGAAAACAAAGCTAGGGTTGCGAGGTGGAACGAAGAAACCGCAGCCTTGGCGGCCAAGGGCAGGACTGGGAAGCCAACCAACACCGCGGCCTCCGACGCTCCTTCCTTGGCAACCCGCGGCTCGGCCCTCCGCCCCGGACTCCGCATGGCCCCGGCCCAGAAGAGGCCGAGGATCATTTCTTAGCTACCTAGGAGTGGGTGGCGAGCAGAAGCGGGGGCGGCTGTGCATTGGGAGGTGCCAGCGGCTCCCGCCCGGTGCGCAGGCACGCACACGCCGGCGCGCGGGGCTGGGTGGGGGGCGGGGGTGGGGAATAGTCTGAAGGCCTCCCTGCCGCGTCGCCGAGAGTCGCTACCTCCTCGCTGAGGCTGCTGAGCTCCGAGATAAAAACACACCAGGCTGAATGAATCCGCAAGGCAGCGCCCCGGGCTGCGACCGAGGAATGGCTCACACCTCAAAAGACCTCCTACCACACGGTGTAAGAGGAAGGGCCTGGCTGTTCAGACAGAGCCTTCTCCGATAGACATACCCCGCCTTCCCAAATGGGTGAAACTCGAACTCCAGCCCAGGCCCTGAAGATAAGTCCCAGAGGTGGCCTTGGAGAAACACCGATCTCGCTCTCCTCTCGCTCGCAGCATCTCCATCACACACACACACCCACACACACACGCACGAGACACCTCGTCACATTATAACACAGGTTAATAGCATGGCAGTTAATGAAGCCGACGGGCTTAATGAGTGCACAGGTAAACAGGTACCAAACCGAGAAGCTCCCAGCAGTCGGCTGGGCGATTTACCGCTCCCTACTGGAAACACGTGTAGCTTATCGTGTTTTAGGAATGATTTGGTGTTGTCTGCGGTCTCCCCTCTTCTTGTAGAGAGAAGCCAAACAAACAAAAAAATCATGTTCCATTGTCAGAGTCGTCTCTCTGATAGCTACCCGAGCCCTGGTCTAAAACATTGGGGGATCTGATTTGGTTTGGTCTCTCCTGATTTTGGTTTGTTTTTGAGTGTTTTGTTTTTCTGGGGGAAGCAAAAGAACACGTATTTGGTGGCGCCGGAGGCGCAGGACCAAGAGCTTGTGTGTACGGCCGGAAGGCTGGCGGGGCTGAAAGCCAGGCGGTGCTAAAGAAGACGGAGGCTTGTCCTCCGCGGGGTCGGTACGGGGCCCCCTGGCCTCTTCGGCCTGGTTTTGGCCGCTGCCGCTGCCGCCGCCCGCGCTAGCGGACTCCGCCGGCTGCCGCTCCGTGTTTTCCCCCATCCCGGCTTCACGTTCAAGGTTTAGCTGCGAGGTCACGTCCATTGACGTCAGCTCCCTGTCTCCCTCTACGTCCGGCTACATTTACATACATCAAGGAAATTAGGGCATTAAAAAAATATGCAAATCCTGCGCGGAGAGGAGCCGGTGCATTCCTGGCGCGATCGCCTTTTATTGAAGCTTTTAATTAAAGGGGCCAGTTGGCGAGCCCCTGAAACAACCGCCAAAACCCCCAAAAGAGAAAAATAAACGCTGTAGCCTTCGGGAACGGTTGTTTCGGCTCCTGTTCTGTGGGCGGCTGAGGACCGCCGGCTGCCCGGCTCGGAGAAGAACAGGTTAGAGGAGGCAGCTCCAGCCCATGCATAATCAGGGCTCCGCGGCGCCTCCATTCTTTCCTCCTCCTCCTCCTCCTCTTTTCCTCCTCCTCCACCTCTCCTCCTCCTCCTCCTCCTCCTCCTCCTCCTCCTCCTCCTGCTCCCGCTCCTGTTGGTTCCAGCGTGTATTATTTTTAATACTGATGCATATGTAAAGATATATTTGCATTTTTTAATTCGCGAAAAGTTCAGGTTGTATCGTTTTATTGATTTCCTCCTTCCTTTTTTTGCTATCTTGTTATGTCTGTCTCTCTTGTCCCTTTCTGTCTGTATTTTTTGGCAAGTGTCTGTTGCTGTCTCTTGCTAGATAATACGCACAGTTGCTTCCCTGCTTCTGTGTATTTAAGGCTCCAAATATGCACATCTGTCATGTATGTAATGCCAGCTGTATAACCTCTTGGTTTGATCATAAAAGAAAAGACACTTTTTTTTTTTTCCTGACATACCCCCTTGGTTAGCTGTAATGTCCATTGCTCAAGGCTCAAAGTTTGATTATCTAATTAACTTCATATTAGCAAAAACACAGTTCGGGCCAGCGCATTTGAGATAATGTATGTATAAAGGGAAGTGACTCCAAAAATTTCTAAAGAATTTTTGTGCTGATTAACTGAGAGTTGCGGCATTTGTTACCTATTGCCTTATAGCATTTCTTATCGCAAAAAAAAAAAAATCTTTTAAAATGTGTAGACACAGCAACGGACAGCCTTCTGCAAGGAAGACATTTTCAACCATGTTCTATGTTTTACCTTATCTGCTGCACTCAAAATTTACTGAGTTTCATTTTTACCTTATGTGACTGGAAACAGGCACATTATCTCGATTGAAAAGCATCCTTAATTCCTGACTTTGAAATGAAAACAAATAAACAAAACAGTTGACTATATTAAGCCAGTTGATTTACCCTAAACTGTATAGGCCTTGAGTTAGATATCAAGCTATGGTAATCTTGTTTATAGGGTCAGATTTCCCTTTGGCAATACATCTATTCAACACAATGGCTTTTGGAAAATATATATGTATGAAGTCCACTTTTAAAATTCCCCCAAAGCTATCATTTTTAAAAGACTGATTCCATAATTGCATAGCCACAAAGAACAGCAAGTATGCACACATGCAGCTTATTCAATTAAACAAGTCCAAGTACATGCACAGGTAATTAGTTTTCTTATGAATGACTTACCTGCACAGATACTCAGGGCAAGATTCACCCCTCCCCAATGTCTTTCATGTATAAATATTCACATGTATTTTCTCCCATTTTAAACCTACAGCTGTATGCCATCTTTCATGCTGGGATCCAGCATCCATTTTTAGCACCCTTAATTCTTATGGCATTTCCAGCCCTACCTCTGGCTGTAGTTTTCCCAAGCCTACACCAAAGTGCTCATATGATATGTCACCCAATAAAAAGTGGTCAGATGGCTACACGTAAAACATTAAAAAACGGAAACACACTAATCCTTTACGTTTGCCCTTACCTTGCCAGACATAGCAAGATTACCTTTCCTAAAGTACATTTTCAGCACATTTTATGAATAGTTGCAGGATTTCACAACTGGCTGCAGAATTGCCGGTTTCCGGGGGGCACCTGGCTGAGCGAAACAATTCGGCAGGTTAAATGTCTCTTCGAGTTTAGCTGCAATTCAATCGTGCGTGGCGGTTTGTTCCTGCCTAGACTCTCGAACATACCTGCCTGCCTTTATGCAGGGATCAGGACAAACACACCCGCCACCATTCAGGGCGTAGAGTGGCGGTGCATATATTTAGATGG